CTCTCTCTCTCTCTCTCTCTCTCTCTCTCTCTCTCTCTCTCTCCCACTCACTTCCTCACCCTCTCTCTGCGCGTTTAATTATTCGCCATGCGGATACCGTAGGGCACAGCACGAGCAAAGCAAGAACGTAATTTTGGCTTGGCCAACAGTGACCCCGACGATGTTACGTACTATTCTATTGACTCGGCTTTTGCCGGCGCGTCACGTGCCACGTGAACCAACTAAATTTTCGCAGAAGCCGCGCTTATAGGGTGTATCCTGTGCGCGCGGTGTATTCACAATCGTGATCTAATTATTTAAATCGCCTACGTCACTGAGACAGATCGATGCGGGTGTACTTGTCGATACCACGCAGAACATAGGTTCGCGTTGTCACGTCTACGGAACGAGATAGATCAGTACAAAATATACCGAACATTGTTACACGATACGCGGAGTCGTTTTTCACTCGTTGCCTAAAGCAATTTCTAGTTTCGCACATAATCCTTTACTACAAGTTAACAACTAACTTCGACGGAACTATCGAGACGATTGTATACCTGCGGATACGTATATCTGCAAGTTCATAAACTTGCACTTGGAAATGTGTCTGGAAATTGCTTTAAGGGCCGATATGCGTATTCAGTCCGCTAATTGTAAGCTGAGAACAGAGACGATCTTCCTCTCTCTCTCTATCTCTGTCTCTCTTGGTCGACACAAAGTGAATTAAACGGATATTCGCAGTGGTTCGCAGCGACAAGGATCGCCGCTAAGTAAGCACGCATTAACATTGCCGACAACATGCCGAGCAGTTAACACGAGATATGGAGACACGAGCCACTAACGCAACAGCCACGAGCCAGCCTTGATGGAATACCGATCCTACGACTCGCTTACATTCCAATATTACCCCAGAAATTCGTCTTCCTCTCGGCTGAGGTGTTTCCCTGATTTATAAAATAGGATAAGAACGAAAGATGTTTGGGATAGCAGAGGAAATTTGCCGACCATTTTTCATTCATCGCCCATTCAAATTTTGCAGTAGAATTTGGTATCAAGGCTTTGAATTAAATAACATTTTATTAAATATTAACATTTTGTTTTTTTTTAACTTTCACGTGTGTCAAAATGTAATCATTTTTATGGATAGCTTCAAAGTGAACAACGTTTACATATATTAACGTATGCACTTACAAGAAAATCCAAGGAACCCAAAGAACTCCCTCTTTTAATGAGCTTTAAATAAGTTTTTTTTAGATAGAAGTCAAAACGTATTTTTTTTATAAAAGCCAATCGCACTTTTAGAGTTTGCAACATTTCTTTGAAAAAAAAATCGCTTATTATCTTTCAAAGCGAATATTATTGAAAAAGATACAAAAAAATATCTAAAATACTAAAATAAAAGTTGAATTGTTTTAAGAGTAGATACTTAATAATTATAATTTAAAAAATTCTTAGTTAAACAAGTTAAAATTATTATTTTTTGTAAAGAACTTTCCCAACCATTCAACTTTCATTTAGAACATTTTTTTCTATCTCTTACAATTTGGACGATCATCAAAATTGAAGTGGGACACTTCCATGGATTTTTTTTTTTTAGTAAATTATAAATTACATTTTGTTCAAACTTAATTTAATTTAATTTGTCGTGTATCAATAAAATTAATATATATTTTATAATCAAATTTATCTTTAAAATTTAGATTAACAATCTAATATATATAATTTGATATAAATGTAAGTGTACAAGATTGATATTATATTTTACGAAAATAGAGAATAAAACTAATATTCGCTCTAGAAATCCCTTAAATAAAAGACACCATATTGTGCGCCTTATTTATTCGATTTATCTCACTCCTATAACCGTTATTCATTATGGGGCGATGCTCTATGTGTGACGGGATGGAATAATTCGTCGATATCTCTATCTTGTCAAAAATTTGACAAACCTATCGCTACGCGGAATTTGGGTGAGCGACGAATGAAAGATGAC